TATCGCTGCTCACCCCATCTTTCTGAAGACGCGCGAGGAGGCGAGCTTTCGTGTGTAGAAGTCCAGCCCGTCCACCAGGACGGCCAGGTCCTCCTTGTCGTCGAGCAGGTTGAGGTCGACGATGGGCGGTCGGCGCGGGTCGGCGCTGCGGAGTGTGACGGTGCCGGAGCTGCGCGGCCGCACTAGCACGGGAAGGAAGTGCAGCAAGTTGTAGTGCGCCACGTCCGGGATGGCCGCTGGGCAGCCCTGGGCGAGCTTCGGTAACCACGCCAGGTTCAGGGCCAAGCCAGACGCCTGCAGCTGGACGTCGGGTCGGGGGTCGTCCGGGGGCTGGCGCTTGGTGCGGTAAAACGATCCGACCTGGAAAGGGAGTAAAATCGTTTGATGTTAAGTCCGGTTAATTTCCCACTCCTATGAAATCTCAGATATGAAGGCAACTGCAGACAAGAAAACTTACAGCGGTGGGGCCAAAGCTGCCGGCTGGGCCATCCCCAGTGCGGTTCCAGAGCTCAAGGTCCGCCCAGTGGACCTCGATGTCGTTGACAAGATTCGAGCCTTTCTTCATCGTGAACACGTGCCCGACGACCGAGACGTGGTCCTTGAGATTCCGGCCGACGGGCAGGTCCAGGACGACGGGAATGCCGACACGAGTGAGGTGTTTCTTGGGCCCCACCCCAGACAGCAAGAGGAGCTGCGCCGAGCCAATGACGCCCGCACTAAGGATAACCTCCCTAGTCGCCCGCACCATCCGGGACACGCCGTGCTTGTCGAAGTGGACGGCTTGGGCGCGGCCCTGCACCACGTCCACCCGGGTGACCCTGGCCCTGGTGACCACGTGCAGGTTGGCGCGTCCGCGCACCGGCTCCAGATACGCTCTGCGTGCGACCCATCACGGTTAGAGCTGTGACCTCCCAGCACCGCGCCAAAAGACCTCTTCAAGTACCTGTTGGTGCTCATCCGCCGGCCATGCCTCGTGGTGGTCTGGTAGTAGAACGCGGAGGTGCGGTTGGTGGGGCCCAGCTGCGACGCCCCGTTTATGTCGTGCACGTCATCAAAGCCCTGCTCCAGCAGGGCGGTCTTGATGAGCACCGCGCTGGGGTCACGATAAGGTAGACGTTGAACGCTCAACGGGCCGCCTGCGAACATTCGTCATGGATCACGCTCATAAAAAAAATATTTCGGGGTTAAAGAAATAATCCTGGCGATGTACCAGTGCCGTGGTGCTCCGTGTCGCTCGCCACGTCCTCGTCCAGGTTGTCCTCGGCCTTCTTGAAGTAGGGCAGCACGGTGCCGTAGCCCCAGCCCAGGTGCTCGAGGCGGCGGTAGTCCTCCTTGTTGCCGCGGGTGTAGATGACCCCGTTGATGGCCGAGGTGCCGCCCAGGACGTTGCCGCGGACGCTCAGGGTGCCGAGCGGGGCGGCGCCGTTCTTCTGTGGTCGCGTCACCGAGACGCGCGCCGTGTCGGACACAATGCCGTGCGTGAAGAAGGACGGCACCGAGGTCTCGGGGGGCTCCTCGGCGCCCGCCTCAAGCACCAACACCCGCCAGTCGCGGACCTCGGAAAGGCGGCGCGCCAGCACGCACCTAGCGGCCCTCGTGTGAGAGGTGCGCAGAGCAGCCGAGCGGCAGCCAATCACAGCGCTTTGGTATCGCCTGGGAGCCGGCCCGGCCAGAAACCACCCCGTCTGAGGCTAGCCTGCAGGCGAGCCGACGCGCGCTCAGCGGAGGGAGTAGTCTCGTTCGGGGTGTCTCTGGCCCAGGCGATACCAGCCCGGAGCTCTGCGCACCTCTCACACGAGGGCCGCTACACGCACCTGCAGGTTGGGGGGTCAGAGAGCGCCGCGGTGGGCAGTGAGGTGGGGACCGGTGGGCAGGGCTGCCAGCCGTGCTGACTGACACCCACACCTTCAAGGAACACGTGGGCACCTACCCGGCCGAGCCCCCGCCGACGATCACGAAATCGTACTCCTCGCCCACATTGTCCGGGACGCGTCTGTCGCGCTCGGCGTCCCGTCTGAAGGACTCGGCGAACATCGTCATGACAAAGGACGTGAAGACGGACTGGGCGGTGCAGAAGCTGGCCCCGCCTGGGGGAAGGGGTTGTGCGGGTAGCAACGCCATGCCGCCGGTCGCCTCGGCGCGGTACTGGACGACAGGCGGTGTCGACTGGCCACAAAAGAGGCGCTGGTGTCCAGTTCTGTCGCGGGCGACCAGATACACGCGTAGTGAATGAGGCGGCTGCTCGCTTCCCCCCACTTCGGGCCTTTACTGAGCTGTGTAGAGCTGTGTCCGGGTTAGTGTCCTCTGTCCTCCACGCGCACGCGTTTGAACCTCGAGTGCCCCCACAAGCACCCTCCAGAGCTCTGGCCGAGGGGTGGGCGGGGGGCGAGAGCGAGGGCAATGACACTCGTGCGAAAAGCGTCAGGTGTGAAAGAGTTATTCGATAACTATCGCACTCGAAAATACTATTCTTCGGACTAGCGCTGGTCCGACTGTTATGCTCAATCAGCCATTTTCACTAGGTCAGGGTGAATCGCGCTCCGCGCGTGGCACGGCGGCGCGCCACGCCACGTGTGCGCTCCCGCTTCTCGCTACCAAACCGGTCAACGAACCACGGCGTATTTCTGTGCCCTTCTGTCCTCTCCAGGTCGGCGCGATACCCCATATCTCTAGTCGCTCACCACCTCGGTGGCTGGAAACAACTGCTTACCTCGTTTGGCGCTCCCGACCCCGAAAACCGTTACCGCTCATCGCGCAGGGTGCTCTGGAGAACCGCTTCAGTCGCGTTTTCACCGAAAATGTATCATAATGTGTCATAATTCGAAAGGGAATTTCCTCCGACCACTTTCGAACCAATAAACCCGGTGATGAGCGCCTTGTACCGTAGAGGGACACAAAGAAGGTGGTGGCGTAGAGTAGCGCGGTCTCACAACAAAGCAACATAACGTGATAGCAATATGCTCCCAAATAGCGTTTTGTGGACGTTATTCAATAAATTTCTGTTTATGGTACCCACAATAGTGGGAAAATCAATTTAAAATAAGTCACTTCGAATAAGAATCACTGTTAAAAAAAAGTCTGAAAATTCAGACAAATTGGTAGGAAGCAAAATTACATACTAAACGTCTGAAAATTCAGACTGTATTGTCTGAATTTGTTGGTATGAATTTATAGTATGAATTTTCAGTTATCTTAGTCTGAATAGCAATTTCATAACTTTAGTCTGAATTTCAGATCTTCATTTAAAATGAAGTTTTCTTGACGCTCTTTGCCGTCTTCTTCAAGTTGAATTGTATTCTAAGTAATTAGATAGGAATTTGTTATTGTACCTTACCTACCTACCCGGAGTCGAACCTCGGACCTTGGGATGGGTAATCTCTCATCCTTGACCACACGGGCACGACGACAAGACTGAGGGGTCACCGACGGCTACCTGCCTGATCCTACAGATGTGCTCCCGGGACTAAACTAAATATTCATACTTTTCTTGTCTGAATTTCATACTCAGACCTTCGTCTGAATAAATACTCTGAATTTTCAAATTTTCTTGACTGAACTCTTAATTCAGACCTACAGCTATGAAATTTCAGACGTTCACTGAAAATTAAAATTGTGACAAAATTGTATGAAAACCCCATTCAGACAGCAAAGTCTGAAAAAGTTAGTCTGGATTTTCATTTTTTTAACAGTGAACTATATTTTACGATGAGGCGCCGTCTTCCTTTCTTCTTCTTCTTCTTCTTCTTACGGGGCAAGGTGCTCATAAACCGCGAAGAAACGTCTACTGTACCACTGACGCACACGCATTTTACCAGACAACGCGGGTGGTTGAAGGCAAGCCCAAGTCACGATAACTTAAAAGAAAAAAAAAAAAAGTTTCTAACGTGCTAGCGGCTTCGACATTGCCACGGTGGCAATGGCTCAGTCAGTTTTGTTTCTGTTATTTTTATGAAAAAGGACAGACTCTCATAATTTCCTTTTGGACTTCAGTTCTGGACATGAAACACCCTCTCGAGGTGTATAAGCTAGAAAACATTTAGATGCACAGATATTATATTTCAAGGAAATTGGATTACACGCGCAATCTGGAAACAGGGCTTAGTTTCGAAAACAATGCGAGAAATCACAGCACCTGATGAAAAACAATCAGTAACCCCGGAATGTGAGTAAGAGAAAGGTGTTGTGTGACGTTGAAATATGAAAATGTTTAACCTGCTTAAGTATACCAAATAAGAAGCGGGCGCAGAGGCGCCCGCAAAAGGCCGGGTAGGCCACCCAACGCACATCCCTGTTGTGCTTTTGCAGCGCACGCAAGAGGAAGCAAGCGGCCGCCAGGTGCTTCACCTGCTTTTCAGAATACGTAATACAATAAATGCAATGATGTGGGTAGATACATGATGAGAGCAAGGTTGTAAACAAAAGCGAATGTGTCTGTCCGGCCCGTCTGAGTAGGTATCTGATCATCGTGGTTTTCGGCGTTGTAACCGAGCAACGCCATTCCTCCAAGATTTACTTCTACGAAACTATTTTGTCATTAATCATTACGTCAACATAATGTTAACTGAGATCACGTTTTTTTGTGGTGTATAGAAACCACGATGAACGCTAGTGCCTCTCTCTGGGCACGAAGCGCACTCTGACGCCACCCACAAGATGGAGGGACATGTAGAAGGTGAGTGGAAAGTCGGCAGGGGCCTTCGCGTCGTCCTCGTCGGCGGGCTCGATGCTGTACTCGGCCAGGACGGCGGCCAGCATGGTCTTGACGGCCATCATGCCGTACCGCTGGCCGATGCAGCTCCGCGGCCCCCCACTGAAGGGCAGATAGCTGTAGGGGTGGCGCTCGCGGTCCGCGTCCGCGAAGCGGGCGGGGTCGAACTGCAGCGGTTCGTGGTGATGGCGAGGGTCGCGGTGCAGGCCGAAGATGTTGACGACCAGCACCGTGCCGGCGGGCAGGGTCTTACCGGCCAGCTCCGTCTCCTCCCGCACCGTCCTGGCAACGAAGGGGAAGGACGGCAGCAAACGGAGTGTCTCCTTGATGACGCAGTCCATGTACTTTAAACTGCGATAAAATCCAGAGAACTAATTAGAACACGTGTGTTGAGACCGTTGAGGCACGTGCAAGCTATTGTTTTGATTGCTGTCGCATTTGCGAACCGGGGCCAACTGGTACCGCATTGTTCATACTCTTTCGTACAGGCTAGCGCTCATCAAAAATTCAACTCCGGTTGCGTGGACGGAAATTCGCACGCGCGAGTAAAGCGTTATGAGTCTGCTCCGCGCGATATCGCTCTGAGGCAGGCAACCCATTACCTACTATCGCTCACCTGTGGACTTCGGCCGCCGTCGGTGGGCGCAGGGG